TGTTTATACGTCAATTAATTTATTTAAATTTCAGTTCAGTTGTCTACGCCGAGCTCTGTTTTCATGAGTGATTATTTGGATTGGTTACACGATTGGTTATACGTTATACGTAGAGTGACGCAGCAACACTACATGTGCCTCACGGGACGGAAGAGTGACGCAGCAACACAACATGGCCGCCACGGGACGGAAGAGTGACGCAGCAACACAACATGGACGCCAGGGGACGGAAGAGTGACGCAGCAACACAACATGGACGCCAGGGGACGGAAGAGTGACGCAGCAACACAACATGGACGCCAGGGGACGGAAGAGTGACGCAGCAACACAACATGGACGCCAGGGGACGGAAGAGTGACGCAGCAACACAACATGGACGCCAGGGGACGGAAGAGTGACGCAACAACACAACATGGACGCCAGGGACGGAAGAGTGACGCAGCAACACAACATGGACGCCACGGGACGGAAGAGTGACGCAGCAACACAACATGGACGTCACGGGACGCAAGAGTGACGCAGCAACACAACATGGACGCCAGGGGACGGAAGAGTGACGCAACAACACAACATGGACGCCACGGGACGGAAGAGTGACGCAGCAACACAACATGGATGCCAGGGGACGGAAGAGTGACGCAGCAACACAACATGGACGTCACGGGATGCAAGAGTGACGCAGCAACACAACATGGACGCCAGGGGACGGAAGAGTGACGCAACAACACAACATGGACGCCACGGGACGGAAGAGTGACGCAGCAACACAACATGGACGCCACGGGACGGAAGAGTGACGCAGCAACACAACATGGACGCCAGGGGACGGAAGAGTGACGCAGCAACACAACATGGACGCCAGGGGACGGAAGAGTGACGCAGCAACACAACATGTGCCTCACGGGACGGAAGAGTGACGCAGCAACACAACATGGACGCCACGGGACGGAAGAGTGACGCAGCAACACAACATGGACGCCAGGGGACGGAAGAGTGACGCAGCAACACAACATGTGCCTCACGGGACGGAAGAGTGACGCAGCAACACAACATGGACGCCACGGGACGGAAGAGTGACGCAGCAACACAACATGTGCCTCACGGGACGGAAGAGTGACGCAGCAACACAACATGTGCCTCACGGGACGGAAGAGTGACGCAGCAACACAACATGTGCCTCACAGGACGCAAGAGTGACGCAGCAACACAACATGTGCCTCACAGGACGCAAGAGTGACGCAGCAACACAACATGTGCCTCACAGGACGCAAGAGTGACGCAGCAACACAACATGGCCGCCCAACCCCCTTGACAATCTCTCAGTCGTTCCACGCGCTCACTCCTTTGATGCTCGTCTGGTAATTAGCCTTGACGAGCCTCAGACTTAAGGCTGCTCACGCAATGTTTTTCGTGTGTGTGTGTTGTGTGTTGACACACACTGGCGGGCGCTGATGGCGCCTCCTCCCCTTACTCTGTTTTTTTTAACCTTTTTTCTCTCCCTCAAGTCAAAGGAATTGAAGGAAAGTTGATAGGTGTGGCGCGCTGTGGATTGACTTTTTAATATTCAAAGCCGAAGGGGGGGGGGAGTTGGGTTGGTTGAGGGGGGGGGGAGTTGGGTTGGTTGAGGGGGGGGGGGAGTTGGGTTGGTTGAAGGGGGGGGGTAGGGAGAATAGGTCCGGTGTTTGGAAGTTTTGATAATAGAGTGGGGAGTAGAAGAACTCCCAGAACCCCATCAACCAAGTATCAACCAGTGTGTACGTGATGGAGGAGGAGCCAGTGAGGACAAGTTTGTATTATTAATCTATTTTTAAATACATTTTTGCAACTACCTAATGAAGGGTTGCATAGGTTGTGTCAGGAGGTGGGGAAGAGGTAGCTGTGTCATACTGCAAAGTCTCCATCTCGCAGGGAGGTTAGTTAAACAGAGACATGTGATCCAAAGCCAGCACTGGCACACTTGGAAGATGATCTTGGAGAACATGATGGTATGTCATTTTAAAGGTTCGGATTCATCATTCTGGCAGCTCTGAACGGTCTGATAGCTGGGCATTCGGTGATGTAGTGTGGGAGATCATGCCGGGGTTCCTGCTCACAGAGTATGCACCTGGAGTGCTCAGGATTGGGAGATTAGTCATCTGTAGCCTGTGGTGGGTATGTGGGCCTGCGGGCCGCTCCAAGCAACAGCCTGGTGGACCAAACTCTCACAAGTCAAGCCTGGCCTCGGGCCGCTCCAAGCAACAGCCTGGTGGACCAAACTCTCACAAGTCAAGCCTGGCCTCGGGCCGCTCCAAGCAACAGCCTGGTGGACCAAACCCTCACAAGTCAAGCCTGGCCTCGGGCCGCTCCAAGCAACAGCCTGGTGGACCAAACTCTCACAAGTCAAGCCTGGCCTCGGGCCGAGCTTGGGGGAGTAGAAGAACTTCCAGAACCCCATCAACCAGGTACCAACCAAACTACCTATGTGGGTAAGGAAAGAGGTCATAGAATGAGGCTCCTAAGTGAAATTGGAAGGGAATGGACACAATATTACGTATAAGAGACTAATATATATTTTTTTCGAGTTGGGAGAGAGAGAGAGAGAGAGAGAGAGAGAGAGAGAGAGAGAGAGAGAGAGAGAGAGAGAGAGAGAGAGAGAGAGAGAGAGAGAGAGAGAGAGACAGACAGACAGAGAAGCACAATAAAAAGAAGATATTTGGAAAAGTGAAATATAGCAATAATTGTGATAGGAGGCGGCCTGTCCGCCTTGCTGACACGATGTGTATATTCACCTAGTTGTGCCTGCAGGGGGTGTTGAGCTTTGGCTCTTTGGTCCCGCCTCTCAACCGTCAATCATCTGGTGTGTGTGTTGGTAGGTAAGCTAAGCTTGCTCTCGCTCTTGTCAGGAGCCTAATAGAGGTGAAGAGGAAACCATGTAAGAGAGGGGGAAGGGGGGGGAGGTTATTGGGGCGAGGGAGCTCAAAGTTAGGGCAATGGGGAGGGGAAAGGGGGGAGCGGACCAGGAAACACCAAATGGGTAAAAAGTTCAAGGGATAAAATTCATGGGGAGAGGAAAGAGAATTTAAGAGCAAAGGGGAGAAAGGGGGAGGAGATTGAACTCTCAGGATAGAGAAAGAGTGGGATGCAGAGAGAGAGAGAGGGAGGGAGGGAAAGAGAGAGAGAGAGAGAGAGAGAGAGAGAGAGAGAGAGAGAGAGAGAGAGAGAGAGAGAGAGAGAGAGAGAGAGAGAGAGAGAGAGAGAGAGAGAGAGAGGGGGAGAGGGAGAGAGAGAGAGGGGGGGGAGGGGGGGTTGGGGAGGGGATAGAAGAGTGGGATGTATGTCATTCCTAAGGGATACGGGTCATCCCGGCAAAGAGAGACCACTTTTCTTCAGTCATAATCGTCTTGTATGGCGTTTCCCGCGTGATCTTGGGGCCAGATTCACGAAGCAGTTACGCAAACACTTACTAACCTGTGGCCAGATTCACGAAGCAGTTACGCAAGCACTTACTAACCTGTGGCCAGATTCACGAAGCAGTTACGTAAGCACTTACGAACCTGGGGCCCAGATTCACGAAGCAGTTACGCAAGCACAAACTAACCAGGGGCCAGATTCACGAAGCAGTTACGCAAGCACTTACGAACCTGTGGCCAGATTCACGAAGCAGTTACGCAAGCACTTACGAACCTGGGGCCCAGATTCACGAAGCAGTTACGCAAGCACTTACTAACCAGGGGCCAGATTCACGAAGCAGTTACGCAAGCACTTACGAACCTGGGGCCAGATTCACGAAGCAGTTACGCAAGCACTTACGAACCTTTCCAGGTTTTCTCAATCTTTGGCGGCTTTGTTTACAATTATTAAACAGTTAATGAGCTCCGAAGCACCAGGAGGCTGTTTATAACAATAACAACAGTTGATTGACAAGTTTTCATGCTTGTAAACTGTTTAATAAATGTAACCAAAGCCGTCAAAGAATGAGGAAAGATGTACACGTTCGTAAGTGCTTGCGTAACTGCTTCGTGAATCTGGGCCCCAGGTTCGTAAGTGCTTGCGTAACTGCTTCGTGAATCTGGGCCCCAGGTTCGTAAGTGCTTGCGTAACTGCTTCGTGAATCTGGGCCCCAGGTTCGTAAGTGCTTGCGTAGCTGCTTCGTGAATCTGGCCCCAGGTTCGTAAGTTCTTGCGTAACTGCTTCGTGAATCTGGGCCCAGGTTCGTAAGTTCTTGCGTAACTGCTTCGTGAATCTGGCCCCAGATTCGTAAGTTCTTGCGTAACTGCTTCGTGAATCTGGCCCCAAGGTCGTAAGTGCTTGCGTAACTGCTTCGTGAATCTGTTATTGAGGTGTCCACGCGGCTCTTGGGACAGAAATGGTTGGGCAGACGTGAAAGGAACAGATGGAAGGGTTCTGGGCCACGAAAAAAAAGAAATACAGTAAGAGAATGGTAAAGTAATACAGTAAAATACAGTAAAATACAGTAAAATACAGTAAAATACACTGGACGTTCCCACGCGCACATGGACGGCTCAATTTTGGAGGTGGATAGGTGTAACAGGGTGAACTAGGTGAACTAGGTACTAGGTGAACTGGAGCGCAGGGAAGGGAACTATCAGGGGAAAGATTGATTGATGAGGATTAAGCCACCCAAAAGGTGGCACGGGTATGAATAACCCATAACAGGGGAAAGTGCCAAGTCATATATATATATATAGCACTTGGAAGGGGTCAGGAAACGGATTTGGGACGGGACGGGGGAAAGGAATGGTGCCCAATCACTTATGGACAGTCGGGGATTGAACGCCGACCTGCATGAAGCGAGACCGTCGCTCTACCGTCCAGCTCAAGTAGTTGGGCGGACTGGAGCGGAAGAAAGAGCAGCTAATCTGCTGTTTATAACATTGGGGTTCTAAGTGCTTCTTGAGGTTATCTTAAGATGATTTCGGGGCTTAGCGTCCCCGCGGCCCGGTCCTCGACCAGGCCTCCTCGTTGCTGGACTGGTCTTCCTCTCTTGGGCTGGAGCCGACGTTGTGTCTGGGTCTTCATCGACTCATTTACAGTCGGTGAGGGTGCCCTGGACTCATTTACAGTCAGTGAGGGTGCCCTGGACTCATTTACAGTCAGTGAGGGTGCCATGGGCTCATTTACAGTCAGTGAGGGTGCCATGGGCTCATTTACAGTCAGTGATGGTGCCATAGGCTCATTTACAGTCAGTGAGGGTGCCATGGGCTCATTTACAGTCAGTGAGGGTGCCATAGGCTCATTTACAGTCAGTGAGGGTGCCCTGGACTCATTTACAGTCAGTGAGGGTGCCATAGGCTCATTTACAGTCAGTGAGGGTGCCATGGACTCATTTACAGCCGGTGAGGGTGCCCTGGACTCATTTACAGTCGGTGAGGGTGCCATGGGCTCATTTACAGTCAGTGAGGGTGCCATAGGCTCATTTACAGTCAGTGAGGGTGCCATGGGCTCATTTACAGTCGGTGAGGGTGCCATGGGCTCATTTACAGTCGGTGAGGGTGCCATGGGCTCATTTACAGTCGGTGAGGGTGCCATGGGCTCATTTACAGTCAGTGAGGGTGCCATGGGCTCATTTACAGTCGGTGAGGGTGCCATGGGGGTCATTTACAGTCAGTGAGGGTGCCATGGGCTCATTTACAGTCGGTGAGGGTGCCATGGGCTCATTTACAGTCGGTGAGGGTGCCATGGGCTCATTTACAGTCGGTGAGGGTGCCATAGGCTCATTTACAGTCAGTGAGGGTGCCATGGGCTCATTTACAGTCGGTGAGGGTGCCATAAGCTCATTTACAGTCGGTGAGGGTGCCATAGGCTCATTTACAGTCAGTGAGGGTGCCATGGGCTCATTTACAGTCGGTGAGGGTGCCATGGGCTCATTTACAGCCGGTGAGGGTGCCATGGGCTCATTTACAGTCAGTGAGGGTGCCATAGGCTCATTTACAGTCAGCGAGGATGCCATGGGCTCATTTACAGCCGGTGAGGGTGCCATAGACTCATTTACAATCGATGATTGTGCCATGGGTTAATTTTACATTGATAGTTGATGAGGCTTTCCACGGGCTGGGGGTTTAAGGGTTGAGGTTAAGGGTCAACAACCTCTGAAGGGTTATTAAGGCCGCCGCAAGAGCTTACTGACCTTGTCCAGGACTAAATTCTCCGGAGTCTTGGGGCCAGATTCACGAAGCAGTTACGCAAGCACTTACGAACCTGGGGCCAGATTCACGAAGCAGTTACGCAAGCACTTACGAACGAGTACATCTTTCCTCAATCTTTGACGGCTTTGGTTACATTTATTAAACAGTTTACAAGCATGAAAACTTGCCAGTCAACTGTTGTTATTGTTATAAACAGCCTCCTGGTGCTTCGGAGCTCATTAACTGTTTAATAATTGTAAACAAAGCCGCCAAAGATTGAGAAAAGATGGACAGGTTCGTAAGTGCTGGCGTAACTGCTTTCGTGAATCTGGCCCCTGGTTAGAGGTAAGGGTGGCACTGGAGGCTGTTAGCGTTGAGAATGGAACAAGGCGTTTCAGCATTGAGGGCGAGTGGCTCTGTTCTCCTAGCCAAGCTGTTCTCCTAGCCAGGCTGTTCTCCTAGCCAGGCTGTTCTCCTAGCCAGGCTGTTCTCCTGGCCAGGCTGTTCTCCTAGCCAGGCTGTTCTCCTAGCCAAGCTGTTCTCCTAGCCAGGCTGTTCTCCTAGTCAGGCTGTTCTCCTAGTCAGGCTGTTCTCCTAGCCAAGGTGTTCTCCTAGGCAAGCTGTTGTCCTAGCCAAGGTGTTCTAGGCAAGCTGTCCTCCTAGCCAACCTGTCCTCCTAGCCAACCTGTCCTCCTAGCCAACCTGTCCTCCTAGCCAACCTGTCCTCCTAACCAACCTGTCCTCCTAGCCAGCCTGTCCTCCTAACCAACCTGTCCTCCTAGCCAGCCTGTCCTCCTAGCCAACCTGTCCTCCTAGCCAATCTGTCCTATACAAAGAACGTCGCTTTTCGCACGTATGCGTTACCTAAGGCCCAAAAATCGTCGTACTAGAAAATGAAAGCGGCTGGCGAAAGTGACGTACTGTCCCGTTTTCTGTTGTGGGTCCTCTGGCAGGTTAGGAGAGACCACTGTAAATTGACCGTTTCCTTGACGTTGGGGGAACCTTAAAAGGACCGCGGACTTGCTCAGGTAGGGGTGGTAGGGGGGGGGGGGAAGGGGGTCGCTGGCCCCCCCTCTGCAATGCAATTTTTGAAGAAGAGATGAAAAATTTCTTGAAACCTGAGTTGTAAAAGTTAGAAAAAAAACGCGTTTTGGAATTTACCAAAATTAAGGCTAAGAAATGGCTAGCGCTTAGTTCTATATTATGCAAAGTGCCTTAGCTTGAGGGGAGGGGGGGGGCTGCGGCCCCCTCTAATAGCTTCGCCCAGGGTTCGACCCCCTCCCCCGCCCGCCCCCCCGGAGCCTATACTCTTATAGTGGGGTTTTTTTCCGTTAATCATATTCTTGTATATATTTAGTGTGTAGCGTTATCACCCCGTTATCTTCCTTCTTGTCTTCGTTGTTACCTGTTATCTTCCTTCTTGCCTTCGTTGTTCCCTGTTATCTTCCTTCTTGTCTTCGTTGTTACCTGTTATCTTCCTTCTTGCCTTCGTTGTTCCCTGTTATCTTCCTTCTTGTCTTCGTTGTTACCTGTTATCTTCCTTCTTGCCTTCGTTGTTCCCTGTTATCTTCCTTCTTGTCTTCGTTGTTACCTGTTATCTTCCTTCTTGCCTTCGTTGTTCCCTGTAATCTTCCTTCTTGTCTTCGTTGTTACCTGTTATCTTCCTTCTTGCCTTCGTTGTCACCCTGTTATCTTCATTCCTGCCTTCGTTGTTACCTGTTATCTTTTTCATTCCTGCCTTCGTTGTCATCCTGTTATCTTCCTGCTTCCGTTGTCATCGTGTTATCTTCCTCTTTCCGTTGTCATCCTGTTATCTTACCCATATCCTGCCTTCCACCGTGGGTGGCGATGCAGGTGGGCGTGGCGGCTCCCACGTACACACTAACGAGGTCTCCCACTGAAGTTCAACAGTGATAACAGCTGATATTTTTGCGGATAACAAAACAACTCAAATTATCATGATTCATGATATAGGTTATCATTTGCTAACCTATATCATATGATATAGGATGATGATATCTTTCTATATCATATGAAGATAACCTATATCGTTGATATAGGTTATCAGATCTGGCGGAAGGAAGATATCATGTTTTTAATCCATCTAGAAGGATCTAGAGTCTTAGAAGTATTCTAGGTTCTTAGACTCTATCTAAGGATCTAGACGTAATACTTGATAACCTAACGTTGTAAATAGTTATCTTGAGGTTATCTTGAGATGATTTCGGGGCTTAGCGTCCCCGCGGCCCGGTCCTCGACTCCTTTTTTGTTACACACCCCCAGGAAGCAGCCCGTAGCAGCTGTCTAACTCCCAGGTACCTATTTACTGCTAGGTAAACATTGCAGTTAATAAATAGATCAATATCATAATAGGGTGCATTGTGTAACCCTTCGAAATAGGGGGGAATAGGGGGTCCACGTTCTCTCGATTTGGCCAACCAGGAATAAATAGGGTGGCTACGTACCTTGAGGCTACCTTGAGGTGCTTCCGGGGCTTAGTGTCCCCGCGGCCCGGTCGTCGACCAGGCCTCCTGGTTGCTGGACTGATCAACCAGGCTGTTAGACGCGGCTGCTCGCAGCCTGACGTATGAGTCACAGCCTGGTTGATCAGGTATCCTTTGGAGGTGCTTATCCAGTTCTCTCTTGAACACTGTGAGGGGTTTGCCAGTTATGCCCCTTATGTGTAGTGGAAGCGTGTTGAACAGTCTGTGGGTGTCTGTGGGTGGGTTATAAATAGGAGCTGCCTCGTATGGGTCAATAGGTCTTTTGCAGTTACCTCTATTCTTGTGAATACATAGGCCCAAATTAACCTGGGAGGGAGCCGGTCGGCCGAGCGGACAGCACGCGGGACTTGTGATCCTGTGGTCCCGGGTTCGATCCCGGGCGCCGGCGAGAAACAATGGGCAGAGTTTCTTTCACCCTATGCCCCTGTTACCTAGCAGTAAAATAGGTACCTGGGTGTTAGCCAGCTGTCACGGGCTGCTTCCTGGGGGTGGAGGCCTGGTCGAGGACCGGGCCGCGGGGACACTAAAGCCCCGAAATCATCTCAAGATAACCTACATAACCTATTGAGGCCAAGGTATCGACAACGTCTATATTACGGTGCTTTAATTTTGTACTAATAGGTGGTATTTTTTAACGAGCAGGTCAATATGTCATTAAACATACTACATATAAGGGTAATTCTGACATTATACATGTGGACAAGCAGTTTGTTAAAAATTGTTTCAGGAGTTGGGATAATTAACAGGCTATTAGAGAAGGAATTACCGAAGGTTGACTAAGATCTTGATCAAATTTTATACCAAAGAGCCGAAGCTCAACTCCCGCAAGCACAATTAGGTGAGTACACACACACACACACACACACACACACACACACACACACACACACACACACACACACACACACACACACACACACACACACACACACACACACACACACACACACACACACACACACACACACACACACACACACACCACACACACACACACCACACACCACACACCACACACACACACACACACACACACACACACACACACACACACACACACACACACACACACACACACACACACACACACACACACACACACACACACACACACACACCACACACACACACACCACACACACACACACACCACACACCACACACACACACACACACACACACACACACCACACACCACCACACACACACACACACACACACACACACACACACACACACACACACACACACACACACACACATACACACACACACACACACACACACACACACACACACACACACACACACACACACACACACACACGCTAATATAGGTGCAAAGCTTATCTCAACACCTTGCAATTTCATCAATATATCTTACTGGGGGAAATGATTGACATATCTGGTTGTCAGAGTTGATCAGTTTGACGTGTGGTGGTTGACAGTGACGAGAGATGACAGTTCTGACAGGCGGGCAACCAGCTCGTTAGGCTCCCAGATAAGAGAGTTTATCTCAGTGTGTTCCCTCAATTAATGACTGGTTCCAAATCTGCTTACGGACATAACTCCGCGTAAGAACAGGAAGGTCTCATGTGTTCAGATATATATATATATATCAACTGTCAAAACCAACCCAGCCAAACCTAACTTGACCCAACCAAATATAACTTAACCTAACCAAACCTAACCTAACCTCGCCTAGCCTAACCTAACCTAACCTAACCTAACCTAACCTAACCTTACCTTACCTAACATAACCTAACCTTACCGTTGTGTTGACGCGGGCTCAAATTTTGGCGCCAACCGGTAGAGAGCGCGCGAGGGCGCCTTTGCGACTTCGGAAAACGACTGCAAGAACTAACCCGTTTTCTCTTGTCTTCCAGTTGTGCTCTTGGACACGACGCTCGAATCCTCGCTGGAGTGGACA